CTCTGTCATCCAGCGATCCGGAAGCGGAATGGCCGCTGTAAGGCCGGCATCACTTCCGAAGCACTACCTTTATTCATTAATTCTCCATTCATACACATCCACACTCCTATTTCGGCATCATTCTCAGAAGGGCATTTTCTCCTTCCCCACAGTCAAACTCACGCATTCTAACTCAAAAAGTGTGACCCACTGTTCTAACTTCACCTGTCAGCATCATTCACTCTACCTTTGCCGTTGGTCCAGCTGTCTTTCTTCCTCTTCCTTTTTTTTTATCACTGCACGGATATAACTGTGTATGTTAATCCAACCTAATTTATTTTCAATCATTCTCTCAATCATTTCTCTCACTGTAACAAAATTCACACCTGTCTCTCTCTCTCTCTCCATTCTGTTCCTTTCCACTATCCTTCTGCTGCAATCTAACATCGTATGTGTCAGAGTGTCCGAGTATCCACAATATAGGCATTCATCTGTATCAGTCTTACCGATCAGGCATTCATCTGTATCAGCCTTACCGATCCTATAAAGGTAGGCCCTAAAACACCCCTGTCCTGTGAGCACCTGCGTCAGGAAATAATCCAATCGCCTGTGGTCACAGTCCACCCAAACTCTTATGTTAGGGATCAGCATTTTCGTCCACTGTGCCACATCCTCCGTATTGTTCCATTCTTCTTGCCATCTTTCAACTGACCTTTCCCTTACCTGTCTTCTCTCAGCCACAGTAATGTTTGGGCCTCTTCTCTCATAAAGCTCTTTTCTTTCCAGCGCCAAAATATGCAACGGAACACATCCAGTGATGGTCCATAAGGCTGCCGCAGACACAGTCCTGTAGGCGCATGCCACTCGCAACAGACTTGTTCTGTCTACTCGTTTCATAAGACTCCTATAGGCCGTTATCTCTACCGCCTCGCTCCAGACTGGTGCTGCGTAGAGAAAGATAGACTGTACAACACCGTGTAAGGCCCTCCTCCTTTCGGATTTGGGTCCTCCAATGTTCGGCATCACTCTCCCCAACGCAGCCGCACTATTCGCAGCCTTTCGGACCACCTCCCTAACGTGTTCCCCCCATTTTCCATTCTGGTGCAATGTCACTCCTAGATACTTTACTTGTGTCTTGGGTGTTAGACATACTCCCGCACATTTCAATTCAACACCTTGCCTGTTCCTTGTCCCCTTCAGAATAATGGCTTCGGTTTTCTCTGTCGCAAGTTTTAGTCCGTGCTGCGTCATCCATTTCTTTACGACGCCACCTGCGTTCCGAACCCGGTATTTGAGATCTGGCTCATCCCGGGCTACTACCAGTACAGCGAGGTCATCCGCGAATGCGAAGGGGTTGTACCCTCTCCGTATTCACAGTGCATCACCCCGTCATATGCCAGATTCCATAGCGTCGGGCCCAAGACAGATCCCTGGGGTACCCCGGCCGTCACGTCCACGATCGTGCCCTTTTCCACCATAATCCTTCTCTCGGACAGATACTCCGTCATAATATTCATCAGGTAACCAGGACATTCTCTCTCCTCCATTGTCTTCATTACCTCGTTCCACTGCAGCGTATTGAATGCATTCTTAACATCAAACAACACCAGGGCCGCCCAGCGATGTTCATTCCCTCTGTTGTGCAATGTTTCGAGTACGCTCATGATTGCATCAATCGTGCTTTTCCCTTTACAAAAGCCAAATTGCCTCCGAGATAAACCACCTGACCTCTCAATCATGTCGTCTATGCGTACTCGCAGCAACCTTTCATAGAGCTTACTGATGCATGGAAGAAGACAGCTGGGGCGATACTTTTCCCTAGCTTTGGGAAGCAGTATTAACCTCGATGTCCTCCAAGGCTCAGGAAAGGTTTGTGCCTCCAGCAATGTATTCATGACCCTTTACCGCCTCAGGTGGTATCTGATCCAGTCCGGGGGACCTACGAGTCTTGAGTGAACCCAATGCCTCGACAAGTTCATCCATGGTAAAGGGTACAGCCCGCTCAGCTCCTTCATCCCTCCATACACCATGACATCTGCCGTCCGGAAAGAGCTCTCTTGTTACCTCAAGCTTCTTGTCGATAGGCATTTCATAAGGAGGATACGCATGGAACTTCTTCATAACGATCTTGTATCCCTGACCCCATATGTCCTCATCCAGTTTTTCACACAGCTCTTTCCAGTGCCTTCTTTTTTCTGTACGAATTTTCCTGTACAGTTCCCTCTTCCTTTCGCGGTACTCTTCCTCGATCTCCTCGATGACCTCAGGATTGATTCCTGCTCTGCCTCTTGCTCTTGTTAACCTTCTTCTCATTGCTATACATACATTTCTTAGTGCCTCGATGTCCGCATTCCACCAATATGGCATCCTGTTGACATCTTGGCGACCAATCTTGCTTCCTTCCATCGCTTCTTTAATGACTCTCTCCAGGCTTTCCACCGTCGGTGATTGACCCTCCATTATGCTTACTCTCCATTTAATTAGCTCCTCGTATACTTTCCAGTCATTCCCATCGCCGCATCTAAAATTAAACAAATTAAATAGTATTAAACAAACTAAATGATTTGAAATTGCACTAATGACAAAACTATTACTCACTTAAATAATAAACGGAGTTTGATTGTACACATATTGTTTTCCAGATACCAAACTTTTTGTTTCTTAGAATACCATCTTTAATAATTGATACTCTATAAAGTTTGGTAAAAGTTCATTTCTAATTTAGTATCAGTTACCTTAAAATCGTAATTATAAAGTCATTATTAATGACTCCTTAACGACTCGTTAAGGACATACAAAGAACTCATAACAAATATTTCCGAGAATTTCTAGTCACTGGATTTCAAACGAGTTCGTAATTTAGTCTCATTATGTTGTCGAGTCTCAACAAGAAAGGCGATACTACGCGTATTAGAACTATTTTGTAGATAGGAAATGGTTAAGTGTAGTACGAGTAAACAGATCAGATTGACAACAGAATCCAAAGAAATAGTTTGCAATGTATTTAAATATATGCAAATACTGTTTCCTGAAGATAATCGAACCACTATTAAATAACGTGTGAGTGAAGCTACTAGAGTATATTTACATACAGTAGAAAGGATCATTCAACAAGCGAGTATGTTAACAAACGCAGAGTCAAATAATACACTAAAATTTCCAGCTACAACACTTACTAAAAGGAAAGCAATCGTGACTTGAGGAAGTATGACAACCAGTTCATTAGAAATACCATTCATCGTTTTCAAGAGACTGAACGTTGTCGTGTATCATTAGAGCTTTTGCAGAAAAGTCTTGAAGAGGTGTACGAGTGGACTGGAAGTGTGAGTTCTCTCTACAGAATTGTGAAAGATTTGGGAATTAAATGGAAGAAAACGAAAGATAATCGACGTTTATTAATTGAAAGGAATGATATTCGTGCTCTACGCATTAAATGTTTGGACAAAATTAAATATTACAAAATTAAGTATTATAGGTTGATGAAACCTATGTACATGACAATGGCAAAGGATTGTTCAAAAACATTTCAAAAGGAAGTAGGTTGGTTATCGTACATGATGGTGCGGATATTGATTGCGGAGAAGTTAATTGTATAGGTTGATGAAACCTATGTACATGACAGTGGCAAAGGATTGTTCAAAAATATTTCAAAAGGAAGTAGGTTGGTTATCGTGCATGGTGGTGCGGAGATGGGTTTCATACAGAATGACCTTTTGACTTTTAGAGGTTGATTCAGACACATCAGTCCCGTCACAGTCCCGACGCTGAACCGGTCCTGTTTGGTCACAGAACTATCAACTATCTGACAGCTGGCAAACTGTTCGTCGTTTGATGAATGTGAATGCCGGCTTCATATTTCTATTAAATAATATTTTGTATGACGGATTGTTCGGTTCGGAACAATCCAAGACAGGAGATTATCATGAATATATGAATTCAGAAAATTATGAAAATAGATGAAAGAACAGTTACTCACCAATTTGTCTGTTATATCTGTTGTTGTTACTGATAATGCCTCATATCATAATTAACAAATGAATAAAGCACCCACCAGTAATTCTAAAAAAATTGATATATCTTGGTTGACGGAAAAAAATTTACCATTTTTAACGTCAATGTTAAAACCGTAATTGTATGAAATCCTCAAACGACACAAACAAAATCATATTCAATATAAATTTGACAAAGTGCTGCAAGCATGTGGACATGTTTTTTTAAAACTTCCACCATATCATCCAGACTTTAACCGTATAGATATGGTTTGGGCGCAAATAAAAAATGAAGTTACAAAACAAAACGTTTATTTTAAGTTAGAAGACGTAAAAGTGTTGGTGGAACAGGAATTTGCTAGAGTTATTGTAGATAACTGGAAGAAAGTGTGGGAACATGTTGTCAAGGTTAAAGATAAGTATGTGGAAAGTGAGCGTCGCATAGATGTAGTTACTAAAGAATTAAGGATTGATATAATAATTCTAGTGACGACGACACGACGACAGTGCATCTGATTATGAAAGTGAATAATATAATTTAACATTACGATGTACCTATGTGAATATAAGTTTTCCAAACTGTCCTGTATATATGTATTATTTTTTACTTTATTACAATCATTTCGTATATTCTTCTATTTAACTGTGTGACCTTTAAGTGAGTATTAATATAAATAATGAATTATCTAAAGTTAAAACAATCTTTGTAATTAATGTTTATTAATACTGTAATCTGTAATACGTATCTATGGTTTCACATACAGACAATATATGTATGTGATATATTATAATAATATGTATTAAAATGTAGTACAATATCGCCAAAAATATAATCTAATATCATTGTTTAACAAATTGAGTGTACCTATCTATAACAATTGGATTTAAATCATAAGTATTTTTTGGAACGCCACTGCTTTGTTTGGTGAGGCTTTGCTGTTCCTAGAAATTTCCGCCCTTACAGTTGAAATATACTCTATTTAATTTTCAAATGCTATTTTTATTTGCATAATTAAGTATTTTTTCTTACAGATGTGCCTTTCCCAACACTCCCAAGTTTAACCAAGTTAAAGGTAAAGGAAAAATTGTCAAAAAATCGTGGTTAGAAACATGTCATTCACAAAGAAAAAGACTACCTTGGAGACGATTTGCTCTGGATAAAGCTGATCTCAATAAAGACGAAAGTGAAGATGAAATTTATGAATTAGTTGATCTTCCATCAACCTCAAATAACGCAATTGCCATACAGAACAATTCTAGGATATCTGATGATGATGATTGGTAAGATTATGTTTAAATGATTAAAACAGAATTTTAAGAAATAACAGAAACTTTTAAAAAACTGATGGTGTTTGTATTTGTTTAAAATTTTTAAATGGAATTTTCTGTCATATAGGAATTCCTATCTCCTTTTACAAACAAAGCGCTGTGAAGGCGTTAATAGAGTTATATCTTAGTTAAGGAGGAGTACCAACTTAAATGTGTAGGAGGAGGGTTAATCAAATAATATCCACACGTTTCACCTAGTTCCGAGGCTTTATATCGGTTCTTTAAGTCTTGTTTTCTTTTACAATGGGAGGGTGCTAACCTGGCCCATCAACTCTCCTCTTTTATCCTGGCTTGGGACCGGCTGTGGGCATGAACGCGGGCTTCTGAGCTACTCAATCCACCCAGTCCAGTTTAAGCATTATTGGCGAGTCAATGTCCATTCGCCATCTTACCTCTATGGAATTATTTTGTATTTTCATGTAGAAGCTCCAAAGTAGTACTACTTGCTTTCTTTTCGTTTGTTTAGGTAGGTATCCTATCATAATCCTGCTCTAATTTTACAAAGATTTTTATTTCTCTTATAACATATTCATCCTATTTTGAATTATTTCCTCTCGTTGTGTTTTTTTTTGTTTTTTTAATGTTTGCTATCATCTTTTTTTTCTAATATACTTTTGGGATATTAGACTAGGATACAATTTGACGCTCAGGGGTTGATCAGAGCATTTAGATGAGACAGGTGGACCTCGGATAGACTTAAGGCTTTACACGAAGGGAAAATAACATAGGTTATAAACGTAATCTAATATATAAAATGTGTTTGTTCAAAATTTGATAAATATGGTAATTTGATCTTAATAATTGGGTTATGTTATATGGTTTGGAGATCAACTAAGATCAACTTTTATAACAATCCCTAAAAAACCCAATGCCAAAAAATATGAAGATTATCGAATAATAAACCTTATGGGGCATCTACTGAAAACTTTTTTAAAAATTATACATAAAAGAATATATAAAAAGTGTGAAGAACACATGACAAACACACAATTCGGCCTCAGAGATGCATGGTACTCGAAAGGCACTTTTTGCAAGTTCTCTTTCAAAGATATAGAGACGTGAATTGTGATATATATGTATGTTTTGTTGATTACCAGAAAGCGTTCGATAGAATAAAACATGACGAACTGATGAAAATATTAAATTCAATTGGTCTAGACAGCAGAGATCGCCGTATAATAAACAATATCTTACGAACAAACTGCAGCTGTAAGTTGCAGGTTTCGGAATCAGTTAACAGACGATATAAAGATAAAAAGAGGTGTATGACAGGGATGAATATTGTCCCCATTATTGTTCAATACATATTCAGAGCACATTATGAACCTAGCGCTAACGGAAATAGACGAGCGAATACTTATAAACGGAGAACGATTGAACATAAAATACGCTGATGATACTGTCATTTTTGCAGACAGTCTTGAAGGTCTGCAGACACTTGTCTCCAGGGTGGCAGAAGTAAGTAGCAGGTTTGGGCTTGATTTTAACATAAAAAAACCAAATACATGGTTATAAACAAAAATAGGATACCACCTGATCAATTACTAGTTAACCAACGACATATAACACAAATCACCAACTCTTGTTATCTGGGTGCAAACTTAAATGAACAGTGGGACCAATCGACGGAAATTAAGATAAGGATCGAGAAGGCAAGATCAGCTTTCGTCAAAATGAACAAAATTTTTAATAACCACGACATAAAATTGGAAATAAAAGTTCGGTTACTAAAATGCTACGTATTTTCCATTCTTTTATATGGCGTGGAGTCATGGACCTTACCTGAAGCATCACTGAAGAGACTCGAAGCATTTGAGATGTGGTGCTATAGACTCATGTTGAGGATTTCCTGGATAGACAGAGTTACCAATGAAGAAGTACTACATAGCATGGGTAAAGAGCGCGAACTAGTCATAACCGTAAAACGTCGCAAACTAGAATACCTTTGCCATATAATGCGCAATGAACAACGATATGACCTAATTCGGATTATACTTTAAGGTAAAGTGCATGGGAAAAGAGATCCACGACGGAGAAGAATATCCTGGCTGCATAACCTACGAAAAAGGTTAACTTAACCACTACCGGACTTTTCAGGGCAGCAGTCATTTTACAACCTGATTGAATTCGTCTATCTTCTCGTCTCTCTCGAAAATAGTTTTTAAACTAACAGCGGCTCGAACTACGAAAGTTGGGAAACGAAATTTAATTTTTTTTAAATAAAAATGCATAAACTAATTTTGCGCTTTTTTAAATTAAAAATATTACGTTTATATTTTAATTGCATTATAAGGTACTTATAGTTTTGGCTATCGTTAACCATCTATTTTTGTTTTTTTTTTTCTTTAAAAATATTAACTGTCTCATTTTTACACTTTTTTCAGTGTCTCACATTTCCACACATGACCCTACAATGTATGTTTTTTTTTTAACAACCACGTCGACATATTAATTGTTGTTTGTATTTCTTTTTGAAAGGATCTTATTTATATACGTTATTCTTCGTCTTATGTCCATTCTCCAACGTTTAATGAACATTAAAGTAAAGATTAAAATTGCAAATAATACTCATTTGTTTTTAGCAAAGCCGAAGGATCAGACACTGAAGAGAGAATAGCCAAAATTCTAGCAAAGAAAAAGGAAGATAAACAAAAGAAAGAAATTAAAAATCCCACGAAGAAGAGAGATGAAAGCCCATTTAAAAAGAAAGCCGAAACTTCGCCGAAAACCAGGGTAGACACTCCTCCCAAACCTAAAAAGGACGAACCAGCACCATTACAAATTTCTACAGATGATGACTTAACAGATGAAGAATCTTTAAATGGTCCAATAAATTCCAAAAACGAAAAAACTAACACAGGAAGTCCCAAAACAAAACAAGCAAGAAATAATCAGGTAGAGACATCACCAAAAAGAGAAATGAGGAAAACTGGTGATGATGACGACGACGATGAAACAGATGAAGAATCATTAAACGTTCCAAACAAATATAACAAGGAAAACATTTCTAACGGTAGTACGAGGGTACAAACACCACTTGCAAAAAAAACTTCACCTAAACTAAAAAAAGAAGTAGTTATGGACGTTTCCGACGACGATGAAACTGACGAAGAATCATTAAACATTCCGACGAACTCTAAAAACAGTATGGACCGTGTAGACAACTCAAAACGATTAAGTAATTCTCAGACAAATGCATATACAGTAGATACAGACGAGGAGGTCGAATTTTTAAGTAATTTTCAAAATGAAAGAACGATGGACATTTTCCATGATGAAAACTTTTATGTGGACGAAAGTTTTGACCCAAATACATACAGAAAATTGACTAAATATATTAAAGCCTATCATGGGTAAGTAGGATGACTGTAAAAACTTTGAAGTTTTGTCATATATTATTTATATATGTGCGTTTTATAAAATCTCATATTTATATAAAAAATAAAGGATGGTCTGAAACTATTGTTTCATTTGAATATTATTTACTGACTTGAATGGAGATTAAATTAAATACAATCTTTTGTTCTTTGTTGTTAGTTATTAGTTATTAGGCTTTGGTTTTAGATAAAATAGATCTCAATGTGTTGTTTAAAGTGTTGTTGTAATATTGAACTCAGAAAATACCTGATGAATGCGAAAACTTTTATTTAGGTGAAACATCGATACCATTAAATGTTAGAATAAGTGAACATGAATCTTATATGAAAAATATTTAATTTGACAGATCTCAGATATTATGTTAACACGCATGGGAAAATAAATATAGAATTCAGTGGAATGATTCATGTATAATCAAATCACGAACTAGAAATCCGAAGATTTCTAATTAAGGAAACTAAAATCCAGATTTTTGCTTTAACCTGTGCCATCTAAGAATTGCAAGGCAAACAGACTGATTGAGGTGTAATTAGAGAAAACGTGGAATCTAAAATTGCATTCCACAACGTATCTCCCCAACTAAGCAAAAATCCTTGGAGAATTGGTTTCTCGTACTCATAAACAGTATATCGAAATAAAAAGGAAAGCCAGTTAAGATTTGATTTCACGTATAGTTACGGTGATCATATGTACTTATTTAAGTAGGGCAGTACTTATTTTTAAATATTGTCCTAATGTACTTTCAACCCTTTCTAAGGATACGCGAATGTACTTATTTTTTTCAAAAGAATGAATATTTTTATCTTTTACTATTTTTAAACAATTATCTTATACTCTGTCCTCAGTTAATTCCCTTTGGCACTTTTACTTAAATTTTGGTTTCATGTGCAACTTTGCATCTGAACAAGTATTCATTTTTTCATGTATAATCCTTTAAGAAACAGATGATAAAAAGAGAAAAATCGCAGAAACTGCTCTTATTAGGTTAAATGAAACCGATTGTGTCGCAAATTCCTCGACAGAACATAGTAGGATCTGGTTACGAATGTTAGAAGAAGAAATATACAAAAAGCACTATTAGTACAATAACACTAACATATCGAGGATATATCATTTATTTTTTAAAGTCACATACATATAAAATTAAAGTTTGATGTTAATATTGAGAGTAAACTAAATGGAAGACCAAATACTGACCATGTTGGTATAGTATCATGAGTTTTTTCCTAGTTTTTCCACATGATTTACAGTGTAATTATTAACGAGAAAATTGTACTGTCATGTAGTCGAATAAATTATCTTCCAATAAAGTCGTCTTAGAAACTCACATCAAAAATATTCACAATATAATTTTCATCTACATCTACTTTGAAATGTATGCCTTTAATATGAATGAGGCAGATACAATTTAATTATTAGAAGAATTATAAGAAAAGAATGCATTTGTAAAAATATAAGAGTTTGCAAGTAAATTGAATGCATTATTTGCATATAATTATCTTTTTTTGTATTTACGCAAAGCTTCATCAACCATGAAAGTTTATTAGCTATTATTGAAAGATTATAATACAAAATAAATTGTTGTACAGATAAATTTATGAATCAAACAAATATTACATGCTATGAAATACATTTATATTCTTAAGATATTAACTAAACTCTATTAAATATAATATCTATATATATATATATATATATATATAATATATATATATAGAAAAGAAAAAAAATTTAATCTTTGCAGATAAGTTAAATAGTAAACTCTTAAATCTGCAAGATATATATATATATATATATATATATATTTACGGCATAAAGTGAACTCCGCCCATGTTAAAATTCAGGTTCAAGTGAGCTCCGTGGTCAAGTGGACACCGATATACGGAGCTCACTTGTCCATTCCATAATATTGGCTCTGTCGATAAGATGTATAGTTTCATAATTCTTAAAAAAATTTTGGAGCTCATAAGTACCCCTGTATCATAAATGTATTTCGCTTAGTTCACGTGTATATATTATAGGGGTCGTTCAGATCTTTTTCACTGTATATTGGAACTATATGTATATCGGTTTAAGTAAGCTCTGATAGTTTGGCAACTATGCACTTAGGCCAGCGTTCTTGATATATATATTTTATATATTTTAAACGGTTCATACGGACTCCTTTTCATACGCATTACAATATGTACTCTTCTTCTTCTTCTTGATGTGCCTATCCGTTATGAATGTTGGCGATCATATTGACAATATGTAATAGATATGTATAATACCAAATACCTGTTTTTGGTAGGTACCTGCTATTCTAAAAATAGCTTTATAAATACAAAAGGATTTCATTACCAAGTTGGACGTGTTTTTTCATATGCGAATATTTCCTAATGTATTTTGTTAACATGAATATATCTTTATACGTTTTATTTAATAATACGATTAATAAGAACTTTTAGTTAATCCATTGTTTTACGATATCTTGTATACAGCATCTTTATTATTTTATTTCTGGTTTTATCTGTGTACTACATATAATTCTGGATAGGTTATCTTAAAATAAATATTTAGGTGCAAAAATAGATATTTTTATGTAAAAATTGGTAGTAGTGCACAAAAGAGGGAAGAATGCTTAATTTATATAAGAAGAATGTACCAGTTCACCAATATTACATACTTCTAAATGTTTTATCTGCTATTTAGGGGTAATATGTAATCAATAAACGTGGAGTTAGTGTCAAATTTGCAATAATCTTTGGTCAGTTTTTTCTCGATTTTAGTCATAAATTGAGCTGGTATTCGTTGAGTGGATGTTGCGATTCTAGACTTTGTACCTTTTATTCTCTAGCAGTCTAGCTACTTATCTTCGGATATTAGGTGAATTGATAGCTACGATATTGTAGAGCTTATGTATGGATGTGTGTCTGTGTGTCTTAATATTCGCTGAATTTGGCTGTCTAATTTATAGCTAAATCTACGTGTTAAATATGTGTTGGTGTCATCCATACTTGCAAGGTATATTCGGTAGCAGAAACATAGAGTGCAAGCGTCTACGTTTTAAGGATGAAAGGATGCTTCTCATTTTTAGCTGACAAGTTTGCAGAGATTATTTTTCTGGTCCTCAGTTTGCCTTTTAGTTTTAAACAATGTTCTATGAATGACAAAGTGTGATACAAACTATCTTCAAGGTATTTATAGCAAGTCCAGAGTTTAAAAATTTCATGACCCTATTGGATATTTAGATTTTTAAAAGCATCTCTGTTAGGGACATTAAAGCAGGACATCTGACTTTTTCTGAGGTTTGGCTTAAAATTGATTCATAGTCTATTTTTATTGTGTTTAAAGTATGATTTAGATTTTTCTATACTTCAGCAACAAAAGTTTTTGGTTGTGCAACAATATAGATGTATCGTCTAAATAATAAAAGTCCTAGTATTTACTGGTATGGGTTGTGTAAATATTATACAGTGTAGTCATTACGCTACATTACGTCACCCTAAAGGAGACCGTTCTTCTTCGTTTTCCATCTGTTATTTTTACCATTGAATGATACGAAAAATCTTCTGTTGTGTAGGCATACCCAGACAATACAAGCCATTGTTGTATTTTTGATCCAAATTTTAGAATTAGTTTTGTGCTCAGATCTTTAGTCAGGAGCCGTAATATTGTTCATTATATACGTAGATAGCAGATCCAAGCTCAACACCGTTGAAAGATTCCCTTAGCTGACTGGTTTTGTCCCCTCTCATTTTAAGTTTTTCTTTTCTTGTTTGCCTATGTTTGGCCCTCAATGTGTTTCCTGCACTAGAAATCCGTCACATTTGTGTTAACCGCATATGTCTGATAAAGTTAAGTAAAGTAAAGTACCTATCTTTATCTCTGGATATTTCCTTCTCTAATATTTATAGACATAATTAGGATAGTTGGCATTAAAAAGGCCGATTTGGCCGATCTTTAAACCCTATAAAATATGGCTAATCTTTTACTTTTCATTAAAAATTTTAATTTTACATACTGTTACTTTTAGACAATATTTCGATCAGATTTGTATAGTAATAAATGTAGTTAATATATGTAGAGTCTCTTTGTGAAAAATAAATGAGTTTGTAATATCGGTCACAACTCATATATGGATAATAAGGAAATAAACGGTTAAAATAGGTGTACAAAATTTTAACTACATATATCGGCGCCATTGTTCAGGAGTTGGGTTTATCTCAGAGATCAAAGGTTACGTTACATGCATATTCCAGGTTGTATTTACATTATTTCATTCCTAAAAAAGTATATTTATAATAAAGCCCTGAAGCTACCTTTAGATTCTACGAAAAGTAGAATCTATGGAAATTAGCAAATAAAAAAATAAAGACATAATTCTGAATGGCCAACTTGAGACAAACAATTCTCCCGTCCTTAACTTATTCAGTTACAAACTATAACGTGTAAACGCATACATCTTTTATTGTTAGATAAAATGAATTTTTATCAAGTAACGGTCGGAACCATCACTTACTAAAAGAGTAGAAAATGACATGCTTATGCTTTAGAGTACGGCTAGTTTAGTACAAAGTACCCTTTGCTTTTGCCAATTGCTTTCTCACTTTCTTAGCGATGGGCCTGGCTTTTCCTTATCAATAATGTTCCCGTTCGTTATAGTTATTCTAAGATATTCAGATTTCACTATATGCTCTACATTTGGTTTTATCTATTATACAACTATGACGAAATTTTTATAATATTTTATGCATTGATATTAAACTGATATTAAACTGAGGATATAAAAATCAACAATAAGACCGATAGTGACGTACATAGCGGAAACAAGAGCAGATACGGCGAAAACACAAAGACTCCTAGAAACAACAGAAATGAAAGTCTTACGAAAAATAACAAACTAAACTCTAAGAGAAAGACTAAGAAGTGAAGAAATACGAGCGAGATGTGGTTTAGAGGAAATAAACGCGTGGACCAAAAGAAGAAAGCGGAA